GCCCGCCACTCGTTGGGGGGGGGGTAGCGGGAAGAGCGCAACAGGGCGCTTCGTTGCGCCGGTGCCGGGCTGTGCAGCTACACAAGCCCGAGGTGCCGGCTGAGCTTTGTTGCCCTCGTCTCCAAAAAAAGGCATACTGGTGCTGGGAAGGATTCCCAGTGAAAGGTGGGAAAAGTTTTTCACTCGAAGAGGGCAGCCTAAAGTAGGGCTGCTCGGCCTGGAAAAGGAGGTGGCGCAGCGGGGAGTAGCCTGGGAAGAGAGGTGGCCACCGCCTGCCACGGGCTCCTCCGGGCGAGGGCTGCGGGGCCCGTAATGAGAAACTAGCCGGAGCTTGGTTGGGAGCGTTGGAGGGGTCACTTGTGCAACAGGACCCGGCGCTGCGGGACTGGCTGCAAAGGCTTGTCGTGCGTGTGAAGAGCTTATGTGGGCTTCGGGGGAGGCTGGGCAGATACTTGAAAGAGAAAGTAGTTGAAGGCTACTAAAGTAGCAGACTGCCTCAGGCTCGGGAAATGTCTTGAGCTGAAAATAGCTGGAGGCTTGGACAAACGTGCTTGTCCTGCTTTTAGTTTTCCCTGGATGTTCCTTTCTAGCCTGGACTGGAGGTGGAAATAGATGGATCCCTGATCCAGCTAATAGTGCAGCTATTCTTCTAGTCTGCATATAACAGGTTTGATATTGTAGCAGAGATGCCTCTGTACATGGCCTTCTCTTTCTTTTGTAAAAAGGCATGGCCAGAAAGATCAGGCCTGCAAGTAGAGTCGCATAACAAAAATTATGTTTCTATATGGAATCCCAGTGAAAATTCTCCAGGGGCTTAAAGTGGTCTACTTATGTGGACTCAGTTGAAGAATTGTAGCCTGGCAGTGTTTGCAATATTTAAGGTAGTGGTGGTGTGGTTTAACTCAGTAGGTAGCTAAGCCCCACGCAGCTACTTGCTTGCTCCCCGCTGCAACAGGATGGGGGAGAGAATCAGGAGGGTAAAAGTGAGAAAACTCATGGGTTGAGATAAAGGAAAAAATAGGAATTCACTCGCTCCTTCCCATCGGCAGGCAGGTGTTCAGCCATCTCCAGGAAAGCAGGGCTTCATCACTCGCAATGGTTACTTGGGATGATAAACGCCGTAACTCTGAGTGTCCCACCCTTCCTCGTTCTTCCCCCATTTTTTATTGCTGAGCACAATTTAATATGGTCTGGGATATCCCTCTGGCCAGCTGGGGTCAGCTCTCCCGGCTGTGTCCCCTCCCAACTTCTTGCACACCCCCAGCCTACTCGCTGGTGGGGTGGGGTGAGAAGCAGAAAAGGCCTTGACTGTGTGTAAGCACTGCTCAGCATTAGCTAAAACATCCCTGTGTTATCAGCACTATTCTGGTCACAAATCCAAAATGCAGTACCCTACGAACTACTATGAAGAAAATAAACTATCCCAGCCAAAACCAGTACAGGTGGCTTCAGTGAAGCATTAGGAAACAACAGCAATAAATTACTTTTATTTTCGTAGCTTATTTTCCAGTTACTTACATTTCAGTACTGTTCTGTCCGGACTTTTATGTTTTTCCATAAGCCAGGTGTGCTGCCTTTGCAAGTCAGTAGGTGCAACAGCTTGCAGAACTGACCGCTGTTCTATGTACAGATACAACAGGAAGCCCTTGGGTTGTGTGAACACATCAAAACAATGGAAATAATCTGATCTGTCCAGAATTTATGACAAACTTCATTATACAGTGACCATGTTTCCTGCTGCATTTTATCACTCTAGATTTTATTAGACATAGTTTCTTCCCTAGAATATCCTCTCATAGTAGTTGAGGTAGTCAGTTAAGAAGTAGTTTGCATATGTGAGTCATTAGGTTCTCGTACTACATTAGAAGTTTCTGAATTTTGTTCTCTAAGGCTTTTGTCATCATCAGATGCTAATCTTCTCATTCTAGCTAAAATTAAAAGCCTTGCTACAGCGAAAGACTTATTTGTATTATTTTCCCTAACTGTTAAATACACTTCCATTAAAACGTTACTGTATGATGTTTGAAATAAGGTGCCGATTTTGCCTTTACAGAACAAACAAGCAACAGTCAGACACCAGGTGGTGCCAAAGACCAGCCAGAAAAGAAAGTGAAACTTGAGTGGAAGGAGTGTTCAGGAAGAGCAAAAAGCAAAGAACAACCGCACGATACTCAGTTTCTGATTTCAGTAAATTAGGAGCAACGTACAGTAACGTCAGCAGTATGGCAAAATTAGGAACGAAACCATTTGCAGAGGTGAAGAACAGTACAAAAATGAGCAATAATCTCTCATCATCTAGCTTTAAGATTCTGATACGTTTTTAAAACAAACTTAACAGCTACAGAGCAAAAATACTTCCGTGTAGAGATGTATAGTTAAACTGGGAGGAAATGTACGTCTTTTTATTTAGCAGTGCACAAGGCATATAAAATATTTGAAATTTTAAATATAAGGTAGGGAGTTAAAATGAAGCATACAGCAAAAATGAGCTTAGCCAGGCATCATCCATAGTTCAGCCTTTTGGTGGTTCTGTGGTTGGCTGAGCGGAGTTTAGGAATTCCCTCTGGCAAACCAGCATAATGTGAGTAGCCATTCAGCAGAGCACCTTCACCACACTGGAGGGCATTTCCTGAGTTGTGACACTTCGGTCTGTTTGCCACATACCGTCTTGCTCCACATCAGATACCAAAACTGATGACAGTTTGAAGCCAGTTGTTCCCTTTTTTTTTTCCCAACAAAACAGTGTCACAGCTGCTATTGAGCAAGATGAGTGGTGTTCTGTTCATCAGTTGATGGTAACATGGGAATGGTGGTTTTAATCTAGATTTTAAGAGTGAATATGCTATAAATAATGACATTAAGAGGTGGAATATAGGACAGGGAATATAGAAACAGGGAGTAATCCCTGTTGCTGTCATTGCTGTTCGATGTGTTTTCTTAGGGAATTTTACATGGTGAAATTCAGTCACCCAAAAGACCAGTATTCTCCAGCCAAGTAACACAGTATTCACACGTTTGAGAAAGCATTGCTGCATTGCCTTCCACGGATACAACACAGATTTCAAGTGATTCCGTTTACTCTTAACTTGCTCTAGTGCTGCCTTGGTGAGGTGTCCTTCCGTCCGGGAGTACTTGGTTATTTACAGCTGATGTTGTGTGTTCTGCATATATAGTTTACACTGGACTTTGCCACGTTAGACACCTTGAAACAATTTACACAGGCATAGGGTGATGATTTGCGTGTTACATCAAACATTCTTTGTGAATGAACATACTTTCCTGCTTGACGTTGTGACGTTAAGAGTTCAGGTGACTTCTTCCTGATGTACCAGCAGAAAGCACCGAGTTCCGAGATTCTTCATGTGACCTCCAAAAGCCAACACTTGCTATGTTTGAACAAGGAACACGTAGGTGGGCATAGAGGTTGTTTCAAGGATTGCTTTGAGAGAGCAACTGCAAGTGTTTAAATAGTTCCCTCTTCTGTATATCGATTCTTTTTTATCTAGAGGCATTCAAATGCCGGTATCCTTACTCTGGTTTCTGCTCACCAGTTTAAATCCTTTTCCTGGCAGAGCAGACACTACGATCGAGAAGTCATTTTCCCAGGATGCGGATCATCCCCTGTGCCATGGGTATGTTGGCATCTTTGGTTTCAGCTCAGCTGCATTGTTTCTGCTCGTGGAGAGCTGCATTCGTGTTCTCCCTTGACTTAAAAACACAGAAAAAAAAAAAACCCACACCATACCCCCCACATACACTTTAACTTTTTCCTAATTACAAACAGAACATTTACCCAAATTGTTGCTGATGAATAATCTTACACTTTTAATGTCATATGTTAATATTTTAAGTAACTAGATAATGTTACCTGTTACACGCAAAGTGGACCAACTAGGTATTCTGCCCAAAGGCAGTACACATGGTGTACTTCTATATTGATATGTCAACCACCCTATTACTGTTCTGTTTCAGTATAACATTATTTTCTATGTGTTCATAAAGTAATAATGAATGTAATAAGAAAATAAAACTGTCCCTCAGGATGTTCTTTAAAACAGACATTTCTGACTATTTAGTAAATAAATTTTCTTAAAAAAAACAAAGAACAAACATTATTTGCTAAACCGAGACTACAACAGGATTTATTTAAGTGGAAGTAATTGTGAAAGAAGCTAACTAATGTGATTCATACAGGATTATTTTTTCCACTTCATGATGTAGGTGTTCACCTGGAAAGAAACTTGATGCCATAAACTTGTAAGTTATGGTATATGGAGCATAGCAAAATATGTATTTTTTTTACTGATTCAAGTAATTAATTCCTTGTTTATTGTTTTCAATGTTCATGGCAAACTGACTTATGACAAAATGTATGACTAGTACAATGTTCCTTTATGACTGATTTACTTTCAGCATACATGAAGCTTTTGTGAGGAGGGGTGAGTACTGTTTAAATCTGAATAAATATTTTAAGTTCTTTGTTAGCGTAGTCATATTTTATGCCAATAGCAGTTAGATTCTAATAGCATCAGAAGGAAAAAAAAAAAAAACACAAACAGTACAATGAAAACACACTTTTAGATTTAAGTGAATAGTTAGTGTTACGGTTACTTATGGCTAGGTTCTCTAGGTTTCTTTAAATGTAGACTTCTACATTTAAAAATGCTGAGTATGCACTGACGTTTAAAAATCAAAAGAAGATGCTAGGAGCTCGACATTTTTTAATTCATGCATGCTTGTTTGGTGTCAACAAATAATTAAGAACATGACTTCTGAGACAAATTATTTTTCCAGGTTTGAAAATGAAAATAAGACTTAAAAAGAAAGTTATTTTATTCCTCGTGTGTATACAATACCAAAAAGGGATGTTGAAACAAAGTTTTCAGTGCTCCAATATATTTGAGAAAATAAAATGTAATTTACAGTGTTCTTCCTATAGAGAGCATTGAGAGGAACTCGGCAACAAAATTACCAGTCTTTAGTCTTCGAGACATTAGGGGGCACCACGACCTCACAGACTTAGAATGATGTAAGTTAAAGTCCAGTTACTTTTCCTGTCCAAAGTAAACAGGAAACAGCATAAAATAGCAAAATCAACTTCTGGATTCGTTCCCTAGCGCGAGATTATGATATAGTTCTTAATAAGATTTCCAACAGAAGACAACCCAGACATTTAGTAGAATATAGATAACACCCTCCTTTCTGTAAGAGTACTAAAACTAACAGACTAATATAAGCAGCTTGCTTTCAAGTCTTTATTTAAATCTTACATTTTCCTTCAGGGTTTCATTCTGGGAATACGACATTTTCAGCTCAAGCCTCTAAACTATTACAGTGTTAGTTCAACCTGTAAAGTAAACCTCTGTATAGGCAGGGAGCACACAGCGAGCTTGGGACGGAGCTGCTTGAAATCCAGGTCCCTGAGTTGGGTATCATGCTTGGGGTGGTCACCCTAAGCTGTCAGATGACAGCACCAAACTTGAGTGTGCTGTAATGATGACGTGTGAATCTCACACCACTGCGGGAGACATTAACAGTCTTAGCTCTGATACACGGCAGATGATTTGCTTAGCAGGTGATGTACTTTGGAAAGGAATTGGAAGGATGTGCGTCTGCACAGAGGGAAGAAGGTGTCTGTCTGTCCAGAGGGTTGCTGTTCTTGAAGAGGGACGACAGCTGTGACTTCAAGCACTGACTTGCAGGCCTGAAAAACAAAATACCTTAGTGTTGTTCCTCTGCAGCTGAAATGATGGTGTGCTTGATGTAACGGAGATGAGCAGCTGGACAACAGGCTTAAAAGCAAGGTGCCTGTCATTCCTGGAGGACTGACACTGGTCTCCCTAGAGTTCTTACGGTTTGACCTAGACACCTGAGGCCTTCTTCGCATCAGCTGTGAGGGATGATTTTCAGTGGAAATCTACACTGTAAAAAATACCCAGCTATAACATTTAAGAATATATGGTCTACTGCATAAAATGAAATCGTATGGTAGTAGTGTGCTTTTGAGTATGGATAAAGTAATCAACCAACTAGAATTTCACGATGGAAGATGACTAGCAGTAGGGAAAAGTATGACATAATATATGAAAAACTCATCTAATTTATGTAAGCGGAAAGCATGACTCTCAGTCTTTGGAGCTGGGCTGGGGAGTGACTGGATTCCACAAAGTAAAACAGCATTCTTGTTGCTACACTTTCTAGTTTCTCTACTGCCTGAGTATGGATACCTTAGTAAAAATCTTGCCCTGAATGGAGGCTGTGGTTAAAACTAATGGAGTGGCTGAGGTCCCGGTTAGTGCGGGAGGCAGACTAGAGCAGTCAGTAGCTGCTAGAGGGTTATCCCTCCTCTACAGCCTGAAGTAGCTGAGAGTGCTTCAGTGGTTCAGCCTACAAACCTGTGTACGTGATGATCAAGTTCTGAGTTGCTATACTGGCAGGAATCTTTTTCTTGTGACATGTCCCACGAAGAAAAGATTATTACCCATAGGTACTCTCTCAGACCTTCTGCATCATAAGTTCATGCCTATAGATATGTATACTATGGATATTCGTGAATATAAAGCCTGCAAAGAATAATATATGTATGAGCTATAATATAGTACCTGAGAAGATACTTACAGACCTGTTTTTATTTATATGGCTGCATTATACAAAATATGTGTAACATACTGTACAAATACAAATGAAGACCACAGTCTCTCTTTTGAGGTGTTTGCAGTCCTGAAAATGCCCCAAGAAACTGGCCAAAGGCAAAAGAAAGGAATATGGAGTAAAGCGAAGTGATCAGCCTGGCAGCCAGACAGGCTTTTTTAAAATCAGATCTGAATATATATTTTATACAAATTAAATTATGGTAAAACACATGTATGCATATATATACATATATAAAAAAAATCAGATGCTCAAACGTTGCCCTCGTAAGATTAGTTTTGCCTTCTGTCAGTATGCATTGTGGAACAAGCTTTAGAAGAACACATGCTACTCTTTCCTGAAAGAGCTTCACTCAAAAGGAAGTAGAGAGCAAGAGGAATATCCTAGCATATACATCTGCAGCTGATCTAGGGAACCTTAAGAATAAGTTGGTAAATGTCATTTTAGACAATGACAACGTATGGGTTGTAAATTCATCTCTTCCAAGCATTCCTTAGAGAAAGGAAAAGATTTTTTTTTTTCATTTGAAATATATTTGTCATTCCCTAGAAATACTCTTTTTCACATTCTCACCCCTTCAGGCTTCATAGCAGAGTGACAACTTAAGATGGACGTTATGGAACGGACTTTGCCTCAGAGAACGTAGTGCCCATGGTCCATTCCTGTTCATGTAGATACAGTTGAAGTCCATGCCACTTTTTTCCACTGCTGGTTTTACCTGCGGTAACTAGGTTAAGATTAACGCAAATAAAGCTTTTACCCTTGTACTCAAACCTTCGCTCAGTATGGGTATGAAACTGTCCTTGTCCAGAGAGACTTTTAGGGAGTTACTCAGAGAGATTAAGGTCCTTGAGAAAGGGAAGGAGGTATGAAGATGACTCTGCGCTTGCCTGAAATTAATTTCCTGGATCTCTGAGGTTCACACTATGCTCCAGTACTTTGAAGTTTTGGGGTTTGGCTAACAATCTTTATGCACTGAAAGGGTCAGGCTGTTACTGGAAAATGTTAAAGCTTCTTCAGAAAAATCACTTTGTGAATTCCTGTATCTACCTCTGCTCTACAGAAACTGCTTTTCAAAAATCCCTTTGGGGAGAAAAATCTCCACATATCCTTCCACGTACTGAGAGTTAGATCTGCTAAAATTAGTTTAGTATTGCATTTTTTACTATAATTGGATGTTTTGTCAGAGACCGGCTATGTGACACATTCTAAGCTTTCTAAACTTCAGTGAAAGACTTTTATCTGTTTCAGTGGACTGTGACTCAGGCCCTACCCATACATGTTCTCTAACATGGAGAATTAGAAAAACGTGCCAGCAAACGTTGGTACACAACAGCAGGGAGTCATGAATAGAACTAAAGTGATTTACTAAGCGTAAATTATTGAACGATGGTGCAGAGATAGTCTCAAATGAGTATAAACAGCATGGACACAATTCTGGTTATCCACAAGGGTATGCTGGTTTAAAATAGGAAGCCTGTTTTGATTGTTTGTATCTTAGATGCAAAGTTTGATTACCGCGGAGGGAACAGGTAGAATGAAAAGACAAGGCATTTTGTCCTGAAACACAACCCACTTTATTATCTTCTATTCCTCTCTACACTGCAGTTTGTATCAGCTTCAAAACAGGTAGAGCTGTTGCTAGGTAATAATTTTTACCCACTCAATAGCCGAAGTTTCAGCCACGCAGAAGAGTTTTTATATATCTAACTGCATAAAACTAAAATCTAAGGCATTGTTTAACAACTGCTTCCAGTGCAACCCTGCTTCTAGCTACGGGCCTCTTTCCTGGGAGCAACCCAACTACCAGGGCAAGCAACGCACTTTTGTAGGCTGTAGGTCAACATGATTTGAGTGGGAGCAGCTGCAAGCCCTCCCTGAGCACTTTCGTTATCTCAGCTGTGAGCATCAGGCTCAGACACCCTTTATTCTCCATGTCGATTCCTCCCTTGTGCTGAGCAACTCTCTGTGCTCTCATGCGGTGCATCAAGCGAGGGAATCGATGCAGCTGAAAAGCAAACCAACCTCCCCCTCCCTCTTTGCTGGGCTCAGCTGGGTCGAGTTCCTGCTCTGGTTCGTTTTGTGGCTGCATAAGCAGTATGGATAAACTCGGAGGGAAATGCAGTGGATGGTCGGGAACAAGTGGGCCGGGCTGGGGCAGGAGAGGAGCTGCTCAGGCTGCCTTAACACATGCCTGGCATTGCCACCAACTATCAAAACATGGTCTCAGTTTCTCTTAGATTTGTGATCTACCGAGGATCTGAAGGAAATTTGGGTCAGCTTAACGTGTGAAGCTGAACTAATAAAAGTACACAACTGACATTATTAATCCAGATCTTGAAACAAACATTTCACTCATACTTCAATAGAAAAACCGTGTGGGAATTTTATTGCTGTATCTTTTAAGATTTCCAATGTGGAAAAGACCAAGACAAAGTTAAACTCAGGCCAGCTCTCGGATAACAATAGTCAGCAAACTGTGGTTACATCCACTGTTGCTCCTGATCCAGCTATGTTCTTTTCCATCTTTTACACCCACTGTCACCATAAAGAAGTTTTTCTTTACCTTTGGGTGGCAAAACCACAAGTACAAAAACTGGCAACTGCTTTCTCTTTTTTATGGGGTGTGGGCTACAAAGGATGGTTCAATTACATTCATCATCTGTTTAATGTTAAATATTATTTTCTTCTACATGAACCATGGCATCCAAAAGCATGATAAATAAATGTGTATCCAGTTTCGACAGTATTAATCACCTCAGAGATAAAGTAATTTCTGTCATTGAGGGAGATAGTGGCTGCAGTGAGTACTTGCCAGCCCTGCAGACCCACCCTGGCAGATCTATGGCAACACAGGCAATCTAACACCTAACCTATTTATCCTTTCTTCTTACTTCTAGAGAAGCAACCTGGAGCCACGCTTGCAGATCTCCCTGTGGGATCTCTGATCCTTTTCTGCCCTAGGGGGATGCCACTTCTGCAATCACTCACAAAAACGCTCTTCTTCTGCAGTGAGAATTCACTTTCAACAATGCCTGGTACTGAGTAGGTTTCCAAAATACAACAAGTATTTCAGCCTGCTAGCACACTGCCTGTGCCAACATGATGTATGCACAAAGTGTATTTGTTGATTTACATTGTTAGAGGTAGTTTAAAACAGCAGTGCTACCTAGAAAAACGATCTACTAACCAAGGACTGCTGGGAATGGAAAAAAGGACTCGGTCGTGGCATTCCCCAAGGGAAATAATAAGAAATGAAAAGGAATCAGAAGAAGAAATCTTAATAAATAAAATGGTGTAATAGAGAAACCTTCTGATATGACATCATCCAGCTGCCTTTTTACAGAAGTAATACACAATGTTAAAGATACGCTATCTAGCAGGCAGCAGCGACAACTCATGCCGCTGAAGGTACATTGTGTAAAGAGAAGTTGATTGCCTATGTTCAACCCAGGAAACTTTTGTTTCCAAAGTATTATGCAAATGGCTATCAGCAAGATATTTAAATCAGTCTTACTTACAGATTTGTACAGAAACAAAGTTTTGTCCCAGTCTTTGTTTTTTCTGTTAGCGAAACCTAACTATTTCTGAGACAAAGTATTCATCCCTATCTCAAAGCAAAGCTCATAAATCAAGGACAAAGACTACGTGCATTTGATTTCACAACCATAAATGCTGATGAATGAATGCTGCAACCAAAAATTTCTACAGTGCTACGTAAATTCTAGTAGTCATCAACAAGTTACACAATTTTTCTGGCTTATATTAACACATAGGGGAACCATGTTCCATGACTCCTGCTTTGCTGAATGTCCAAATCAGTTACCTCACTTACTTACGGTTCAGTTAAAGTGTAAGAAACAGACCCTGGCGTTTGGTTGGACTGAAGTCTCTGCAATCGTTGCTGATAGGTATTTTAATAAAAAAATTGTACATACTTATTAAGAACTGTCTAGTCGACCATTATTAAAACTTGAATTTTAACAGCTTTTAAGCTTGACTTTTTACAGCTGTTCAACTCAGTACAGCCCAACATTAATTTTTGTTTTAAAACAGATATTTTAACACTTATGTAGAATTAGTCCTTTGGTTATGACTTGCATTTGTCCATTGACTGTGCATCACTGACAGTAAGGGAAGAATAATCTTGTTAAAAAGGAATTTATTTGCTATACTAAAGTATGTACATGTGAGTCTTGGTGAACAAATGGGAGGAACTGGTTTGGCATATCCTGTAATACTAATATTCAAGCCCATCCTTCTTTACCACTGTTCCTTTCTAAGGTTTGCTGCAAGTAGTAAATATAACACATCCTATTATGTGTCGTAACTTCCACATAAATATATACAGCTCTTCGTAAAGTCAGTGAGAGCCCTGTGCGTGTACATGCGAAACGGAAGGCAGGGAGACCAGAATTCCATTTAGCAGTAGCCTTGCTCCAGTATTTACTTAATCTTTCTATGATTAAAAGGAAAACCAACATAGTTTGCTTTGGTATTTATAGTATTTTATAAATACTGCATCACCTCACCATGTCACGTGATATTTGGTATTGTACAACCCCATCCTCAGGAGCCTCTGTACGCAGCCGCCGATTGATTTTCCCATCTCTTACCAGATGCATCACAGCACACGCAGTTATACTAGTATCATTTTGCAAGTAGTTTGTTCAGTTTTATTTGCATTTGTTGGCATATTATTAAAATATATCACAATTAAATAATAAGACCTAGCTCTCTTCTGTTGCAGATGCTTCATTTTTCTGTAATGCCTTCTGTTTAGTATAATAAGTAGGAGCTTAATATATAATAACTATCTATGTCATTTCTGACTTGCCTATTCCCAAGGGGTGATTTAAAAACAAGACAATTGGTGGTGGGTATTCTGGATACAAGGAGCATTGCAGAAGACAGCAGCAAGGAAGTCATAGCAAAAGAAAGCGTAAGGTAATTTACTGAGACATTTTAAAGGATAAAGGAACGGGTGACATCAAAAGAGAATAGGTCAGGTAGGCAGCAGAAGCTAACCTCGGCCAGGACTTGCAGATGACCATTTTGAATTTGGGGCAGAATAGGAATAAGAAACAACGAGGGCAGCTGAAAGAGGACATAACTGAGCTGAATAAGAAGGTTGATGCCTTGGTAGTACAGTAACAACACTGATGTAGTAAGTCATGCAACTGAAGACAGAAGATAAGCGGGATCAAATAATAACGTTGAGAACCGATGAGGTCCAGAGCAGGGTTTTGCCAGGGGAAATGCGGTACAGCTGGTGGCTGTGGAAAATGGTGAAAGGGAGGGGGGGGGGGGGGGGGGCGGGGGGGGGACGACACTGTTACAACTTTCCAGTTGCTCTCAGCAGACAAAAGAAAGCTGATGACATCGGAGCAGGAGAGATGAAAGGCTTGTAGTTGCACATCTCTTTCTTTAAAGAGGGAAACAAAACCAAACTAGATCTGTATCATCAACTATAAATGGCACACGGAAAAAGTTTTGGAAAATCCCAATATTGCTCAGCGGCGAGAAACTCCCCTCTCCTTCCAGCTGAGGACACGTCACTGGAAAGTCCCAGCCTGGAAAAAAAAAACCCGCCGAGTAAACAAATTGCGTAGGCAGTAAAAACAGAAAGAGGAACAAAGTCAAATGATACTTTGACTTTAAAGGAGTTTATTTTCAGGTTAGCATTTCCTTGAATGGCAACAGTTCAAGTTCAGACAAGAAAAATCTCATTAGAGTGAAAACGGCTGGTAAACGTCCCTGCT